TTACAGCATGGCTACAGAAGAAAAAGAATAGAGGCTCTCATTAAGAAAAATCATAATCTTACATGTAGGCAAAAGAAAAACCACCAAAAAGAAAAGGTGGTCCTTGATTACATACCCTTCCTTAAACCGTTTGTTAAGAGGATTTCCAAAAATAGGAACTTACAAATAATTTATCAACATAATCCCACTATATACAGGTTATTAAGGAATGACAATGGAGATTATAAACGTAACTCCTTAACAGGAATATACTCAATACCGCTAAGAGACCATAGGTTCAGCTCTAACTTAGTATATATATAGGGGCAACATTGAGAAANTGCCAGCTAAAACACGTAAAAATAATATTAAAGTAGCCAAGACATAGCCAAATATTGTAGCGCCACATCACTAGCGGACATTTGAAATTTGCCGACTAGGACGGTCAGTTAACCGAGGTGTCGGTTAATCGGGGGTCGGATAATCGAGGCTCTACTGTATATCCAAAGAACAGCCTTACAGCATGGCTACAGAAGAAAAAGAATAGAGGCTCTCATTAAGAAAGATCGTAATCTTACATGTAGGCAAAAGAAAAACCACCAAAAGGAAAAGGTGGTCCTTGATTGCATACCCTTCCTTAAACAGTTTGTTAAGAGGATTTTCAAAAATAGGAACTTACAAATAATTTATCGACGTAATCCCACTATATACAGGTTATTAAGGAATGACAATGGAGATTGTAAACGTAACTCCTTAACAGGAATATACTCAATACCGCTAAGAGACCATAGGTTCAGCTCTAACTTAGTATATATATAGGGGCAACATTGAGAAATTTCAAGAAAAGAATCAATGAGCATAAACTATCAGTGAACAAAACCGTTGACAGTACGGTCCTTGCCACTTATGCCAAACAACAAGGCATCACGGTCTTCTGGGACCAGGCCTCTATCATAAAAGCTACTAGATCCAAATACGCAGTAAAATATCTAGAAAAATTGGAAATCCACAGGGCACAGAAGAGCATGCAGTGCATTAACTATAGAGATTCTAACAGGCTTTCGTCCACTTGGAAATCTTTTTGTAACAAATTGGCTTAATTCTGTATAAAAGGCTTAATTGAGCTTAAGATGATCCTTGATAAATAATTTATTTATTATTAATTTAATCATAAAGAGCTTTTGTGTGTATTGCGTTTATTATTAACGTTTTACTTATTAATTTTTATTACATAACCATTTATTTTGAAATTTGTTTGCATGATTTTTCGAATTCTTCATTTGTTTTAGAGAAATAACTGATGATGGATGCTTAATGTGTTTAAAAACTTTTTTATGATATTAATTGTGCTGGACATTTAAATGGTTTTTTATTTTATTGAATTTAGTCTCCAGTAAGCAAGTATACATATATTTATGCATATATTTTATACTAATGCCTATATTCTTCTTATTCACATCTCTTCTAGCCCAGATTGCCAGCAATACTCTCTCATTTTTCTTTCATGAAATNCTGGCTCCCTTTCATGGTCGAATGAGTGTTGCCAGCTAAAACACGTAAAAATAATATTAAAGTAGCCAAGACATAGCCAAATATTGTAGCGCCACATCACTAGCGGACATTTGAAATTTGCCGACTAGGACGGTCAGTTAACCGAGGTGTCGGTTAATCGGGGGTCGGATAATCGAGGCTCTACTGTATATCCAAAGAACAGCCTTACAGCATGGCTACAGAAGAAAAAGAATAGAGGCTCTCATTAAGAAAGATCGTAATCTTACATGTAGGCAAAAGAAAAACCACCAAAAGGAAAAGGTGGTCCTTGATTGCATACCCTTCCTTAAACAGTTTGTTAAGAGGATTTTCAAAAATAGGAACTTACAAATAATTTATCGACGTAATCCCACTATATACAGGTTATTAAGGAATGACAATGGAGATTGTAAACGTAACTCCTTAACAGGAATATACTCAATACCGCTAAGAGACCATAGGTTCAGCTCTAACTTAGTATATATATAGGGACAACATTGAGAAATTTCAAGAAAAGAATCAATGAGCATAAACTATCAATGAACAAAACCATTGACAGTACGGTCCTTGCCACTTATGCCAAACAACAAGGCATCACGGTCTTTTGGGACCAGGCCTCTGTCTAAAAGCTACTAGATCCAAACATGCAGTAAAATATCTAGAAAAATTGGAAATCCACAGGGCACAGAAGAGCATGCAGTGCATTAACTATAGAGATGCCAACAGGCTTTCATCCGCTTGGAAATCTTTTTTGTTGAACGAATTGGCTTAATTCTATATAAAAGGCTTAATCAAGCTTAAGATGATCCTTGATAAATAATTTATTTATTATTAATTTAATCATACAGAGCTTTTGTGTGTATCACATTTATTATTAATGTTTTACTTATTAATTTTTATTTTGAAATTTATTTTGAACATTTATTTTGAAATTTGTTTGCATGATTTTTCGAATTCTTCATTCATTTTAGAGAAATAACTGATGATGGATGCTTAATGCGTTTAAAACTTTTTTATGATTTTAATTGTGCTGGACATTTAAATGGTTTTTTATTTTATTGAATTTAGTCTCCAGTAAGCACGTATACATAGATTTATGCATATATTTTATACTAATGCCTATATTCTTCTTATTCACATCTCTTCTAGCCCATATTGCCAGCAATACTCTCTCATTTTTCTTTCATGAAATTTGCAGCTTGGGCTATGTGGCTCTTGTGCCTTTAAACACTAACTAACCAATCTTTCATAAAATTCAGGCATCCATAAGTAAAAATCTCTTTCCAAACTTATAGCCCTGATAACATATTCCATGTTTATAAGAAAATTGGGTTTATTACTCCTATCTTTTTAAATAGCTTTCCCTTGATTGTAACTAGCAAATTTGTTCCCTGCCAGCAGTGCTGCTCCATGCTGTGGCCAATCCCAAAAAAGACCATAAGATCTATCACTTCATTTGTTTTTTGTCTACCATGTTGAAAATCTTTGAAATTGTATTGACAATTGCATATATTTTTCTGAAATTAAAAATAGCCTTTAACCAACACTGTGGCATTTCTCACTGTTCTACTGTCATTATCCTTTTATTTACTAAATATGAAATAAGAAACAACTTTGAAAATACCCCTTATCTTCATTATGTACAGTACTTAGATATATCAAAAATGTTTAATTCTGTTGTACTGAATGGGTTGTTAAAAATTTTGTGACAAATTCAATTTAAACCAACATTAGAAACAAACTTGAAAGGGTTAAAAGACACTTTTATAAGCAAAATACCTTAAATTGAAAAGATGATCACAAAGAACTTTAATAAAAATGACCTGGAGAGAACAGTTCAACCAGAAATTTCTATCGTAGCAATTTGAAACACACAATTAGCCAAAATATGCTAAGCATCTAAAATCTCTTCTTCCACACAAAAATTACACTCTTCTCTGGAATAATTATTCAGACAATAATTCAATATATTCAGGTAAATATTCAGGAATAATTAATACAGGCAAGAATGTAATTCATTGTATTTCCTGAAATACAATGAATTACATCTTGCCTGTATAAAAAAAGATAAAACATCTCCTGACTGGAACATCTTGATTATACAACAAATTATCAAAAAAGTAATATTCCAGTTCTTTAACCAACTATTATACATACATTTATTTATTTTTCTATTAATATCACATAAAAAGTTATCAAAAAGTTAGTGAAGAGGAGAGAGAGTCTTAGCTCTACATTTCCATTTATAAAATTATTACCATGTTCTTTACTAATGAAAGTACCAATGAAAGAATGAGTCCAGTCTATACATTCCTTGCGAAGTAAAAAATTCAAACTTATCTTACTTAATTGATAGTCATTAATTAATTAAAGTTAGAAGTCCTAATAAGCCAATTGCATAACCTTCTAAAAATTAAAAGTTTAATAAGAGTCAAAGAGCATTTCAACATAATTAGATAGTCTGGTGTGCAATGAGGTAAACAAAATATGTTTTTAATGAACTCAATTTGTATTCCATTATCAGTTATTAAATGAAAACCACAGATTTCTGTAGTATATAACAAAGAGGACAAAAAGTTTTCAATAAGCATAAGTAATCATTTGAGTTTCACAGTTTAGCAGATTTCCCTAATTGAACAATTTTATTCGTCAGTATTCTAGCATGAATCATCTTATTAGAGTAATTTATCTGAAATGAACCATTAGCCAAAAAAGTGACACCTAATAAATATTTATAATTCGAAGTGACAAGAATTGGGAATCCTTTAAACTACCATTTATCTGCCTTTGAATTTTTACCTCCTCTTAGACTTATTCAAATTCAATTTCAAAACATTTTCATCTAAATAACTAGTCAACACATTGATCAATCTTTGAAGCCCTACAACAGAATCAGATAAAATTACAATGCAGTAGAGCGTCGATTATCCGAAAGTCAATCATCCGAAAGAATTCCAGTTGGCAAATTTAAATTTTCACCAGTGCTGTGGCGCTGCAATCTTTGGCTATGTCTTGGACTACTCAAATATTTTACGTTTTTGATACTAAATTAACTTCTGAAGTATAATTTTTTATTGTTTTTATATTTTTCAATATATTTATTTTGTTCGTACAAAATAAATAAATAATTTTTAACGATACAATAGTCTTCGTTAAGCTTAACATCAACAAAAATTCAACGCGAAGCGACACACAATGGAGAAAAATGTCAAGATGGGATAAATTAATATATTTTTTCATACATAATCGGTTATCCGAAACATCGATCTTCCGAACAACCCCAGTCCCCAATTGATTCGGATAATCAACGCTCTACTGTATTATCAGATAAGCAAGTATTTTAATTTGAAAATCATTTATTTCTATACTATTGCCTGAGGAGTTAACAACATTAACCTTAACCTGCCAAAATTACTTGTCAAACCATGAGAAACAGACTTAATAATAATAATAATAATATCTGCAATTTAAATAATACTATATTTTTGTAGGTGGATCCATTTTTTCATCAAGAGTTTGTATCTTGGCGACAAAATCCATTATTGGATAAAAGCCATCCATTTTTATCTCGTATTTATCAAGAAGATATTCTTCCCTGTTTACATTTTGCCAATACACAGGTAAATATCAATTTACTCTTAAGTTACTTTTTATTGTTAAAACACATAATTTAAATGGTATTTTTATAAAAACACTTTCAATTCTTTATTTTAATTAAAAAATATTGTAAAGAATAATAACTCTTAATTTGTATTTTTTTGTAGTGTATATAATTAAAATTTGGCTAAAAATAAATTTTATGAATTATTTAAAACTGAACTTTTAACAGCCAAAAGATTATTCTTAACCTGCATTATTAATCTAAAATTTAATTAATAACCAAGTATCTAAATTCTAGATTTTTGGACTATAATTATCTATAATTAATTAAACATCTATTAATTATTTTCAGCTTAGTGAAAAAGTTTTAAAGGCAATTGAAGATAATATGATTACGGTTGAATCTGTCACCTGTAAAAGTCCATTTCCAAAGTAATTATTATTTGATATAAATTTTAATGTCAATATTTATAATTTAAATGTTTATTTGTCTTTTTAACTGAAAAGCAATTACATTTATTTTTATTATAATTTAATGTTTATTTATTTGATAATTTGTGTAATGAATAACTCAATTAAAAACTGTAATGTGATTTTTAGACTTTTTCACATCCTGTGTTTTATTCTAACTTAATTTAATTAATTGTGACCATTAGCCTTTTTCAAGTGTTCAGAGTCAAGTCCAAATAAATCATAATAAACATACAAAACATTACATTCAAAACTAACATAGCAAACTAACTAGCAAAGCAAGATGATAAAGCATTAAATAGTGATTGTATTAAAGTATTATTTATTTTCCTGCACATTTTAGTTGAGTAACTATCTATTTAAGTATCTTTTCATGGGAGACAGATAACCATAGGTATATGATCCAACAATAAATTTTGATAAATTAAGTATTTCAACTATAAATTTTTGTCTATAATAATGTATTAAACAGGTATATTAAGTAAAATAAAAAATGTTTTTCTGTAAAACTTTGTAATATTTCTGTAATACCAGTATAATAAGTCCAGGTAATAGAAGATACGTTATTATAGACGAAAATTTATATTTTAGAAAAAAGGACATTGAGGCATTCTAATTAAGTATTTCAACTCACTAACATTGGTTAACTCTAGATCAATCAAGGAGTGAGTATATTTAATGAACCTGGTTGATAACTTTATATGCTAGATATATCAGAAGAGAGAAATTTTCAGAAAAACAGAAATTTAGCAATTTACAAGTATGAATAGATAAATTTTTAAGTAAGTCTATATTAAAATTGCCAATTACTAGTAATTTATAAGTTTAGTAATGTGGAAATGAACTACAAAGTTAAGTGCATTGAACAATGAACTATGATTTGAAGCTGGAGATCGATAAATTATAACAATCAGAAATTTGTTAACCATTATTGCTATCATATCTATATATTCCTTAGTAAATGTTAAGTCAGGTATAACTTCATAGGTTAATTTTTTGTTTGTATACAAAACAATTCCTCCATATTGGTTAGATTGTCTTTCAATTTTTCCATACAAAAGTTTTTTTTAATTTAAACAGAGTTACATTACATTACATTAGTTCATGTTTCAAAGAAGGCTAATATGCCAAAGTTACATTCATAGCTAGAGATAATATGATTAATTTCTAAATATTTATTATTTAAGCCTCTTACATTACTGTAGAATAAACATATTCCATTCTTAGCAAAGTCTGTTATCTTACTGTGTTTTAATAGATCTTCCATCAAAAATGTTTTCAAGATCCACATTTCCAGCTATTTTTATAAGATTTACTAAATTTATGAAAATTTGTACATCCAAAACCAAAACAATAAAAATGAGCATTTTTTAAACACTACACAAGAGTAAGTCATTTTTCAAAATTTTAAAATTTCAGCTAACAGAAGAAATAGAATAATGATTAGCCATTGCTACTACACTCCATCAAGCCACCTCCCATTTAATGCTTTTAGTTACTCTATTTTGGTGTCATTTCTTTATTGTTTCTAGTTTTCTGTATACACTTCATTTACTATTTGTATGTTGTATGAGTGTATTTTTTGAACTATTCATACCAAAGCGATATTCCCATTCTGTGTTGTCATTTTTCAAATCATCATCTGCATGTGGCGGAGACAGTTGATGCATTGGCTTACCACTCTGGTATCTTGAGATCAAACATGAGCAAGAAATTCTGGGAATTTTTCATGGGTGATCAGTCCTGGATATTTTTGGACTCTGTCCCTTGTTGCCTGATTGCCAACATTGTGGGCTCAGCAAAACCCACTAAGGACATGGCAAAAGTCACTCACAGCACCCATGAGGCAGAGAGCCAAAACTGAAAAAAGTTATTGGCTGCAAAGATAATGAAAAAAAATTAGAAAGTTAATGAAACACTTCAGACAGAGCAAAGTTATCTTAAAAGTTAAGAAAAATGTTACCATTACAGACATGAAATAAATTAATTATATAATTTATTTTAAGCCTGTAATAAAACAATAAATAAATAACCAGTTAAAATGACTGCTAAGTTCATTTAAGTCATACTCTTATTATTTTAGAGTTTTTCAGAAGTTTCTCTCTTCATTTCCTATTAAACAAATGTAATTTTTTATATGATTTTGAGGAATTAACACATCATATAGAGTTGAAATATAAAATTATCCACTTATAAGCTTATACAATGTTTAATAAAATATATTATAATAATCTACTTGCATGTAATAACAAAATGTTATGACTGACATTTCAGAACTACAGTGGAACCTCGGTATACGTCTGCTTTAGAATACGTCCAATTCCGAATACGTCCTGTTTGGACGAAACAAATTTTGCTCGGTATACGACTTTTGTTCGGTATACGACATAATTCAATTATACGCGTCATCAATGAACAAGTAGCACTATCGGTGTACTAGACCAGACTAGACGTTCGTGGTGCAACGGTTTATAACTTTGTTAAAATTCTTCTGATTTTAATTCGTAAGAAAAATTTTATTATTTTTATTAATCACGAATCCCAAAAAGGCAAACGAAAAGCGACAGAAAACTAAAAAAATGACTAGAATTACAATGAAATTGATGAAAGAGATTGTTAAGAAATAGGAAGGTGGCATGCGTGTTCAAGAATTTAACTGTTGTTTACCGTATTCCGATAATGACGATGTGGACAATCGCAAAAAATAAAGGCATTATTAAATCTGCTAACGTTGCGAAAGGGGTTAAATCAATTTCTAAACAGAGATCGAAGACATCAGATCATGTCGAGAAATTGCTTTTGCTTTGGATAACTGAAAAACAGTGCTGGAGACAGCATATCGGAAGCAATTATTTGCGAGAAAGCTAAAATGATACACGCTGATCTCACGAAAAATCAAGCAGGAACTAGCCAGGAAAGCGAGGTGTTTAAAGCTAGCCATTTTTTTACACGAGAACGGATTAATCATTTTTACATTACTTCTTATGGGAAAGGTTGTTTTAATATATGTCCAACTCAGTATAAGTCCAAACATCGGGAATGGATTAAGGTCGTATACCGAGGTTCCACTGTAATTATATAATTGATTCTTTCCTGTCAATTTAGTTTTTCAGAAATTATAGCAAAAATCTTTAAACACTTTTTGAAATCATAAAGAATGCTCAATAATTGTTACTTGAAGTTTTGATATATTTGTAGAGGAAAATAAAATTGATTAATAGGGAATATAGACATTTACTTTTATTTACAAATCCTTGTGAAAGCATTTGCAGAATAAATACATACAGTAATACCCCGAACTTACGCGATAGGTGGGACCGAGTGATAACCGCATAAGTCGAATTCGCGTAAGTCGGGGTATTACTGTATTTCATCTCTAACATTATATCATTATTTTTATTGTATGATATGATATTCTTTGGATCTTATTTGAAAGTTGCCATGGGTTACAAGTTATCATTTACAGAAAATAATATTTTATAATATTATATTGTAATTATTAGTTTCTTTAACTCTTTAAAAACATTAACATTTTAATTTGACTTTAATAATGTCTTTCACTGAGAATTATAATTAAATATTTTCAGAAAATGCTCTTTGTTGGATGCTCCTCGTTTATGTAAATATAGAATGAAACTTGGAGACGACTCCGAATGGCACTATATCTCACAGTTATGTAGAAATAGGGTAAGTCTATTATTTTGATAAAATTTCTTATCATATTTTAATATTCTCTATAANATATATATATATATTTCTTAATTGCATTTCTATGTGGCTCTGTGAGATAGCTGTCATAAACAAAATTATTTCTTATATCCTGGATCACTGAATGTGTTGAGAAAAACCCTTTTTACATAATATATGCAATGGAAGATGAATAGTTGCACTCATTATAACTTCACGGTATCTAGAGTGCAACTAACTATATTTATGACAAAGAAAATCATACACTGGACCGTGGGACAAGAAAAAAAAACAAAAATACACACAGTCCACACTGTACAAGTGGAACAAAAGTATGCAGGTTTACTCTGCAATCCTGACACTTACTATGAAAGTCACTCTAAAAGTTTCTAGATACGACAATCCTGTTTATCGTCACTTTCTGTCTGTCCTCATATCATCTCAAAGTACTCTCCCTGATCCTTGATGCATCGTTGCATGTGGGAGAACCAACTCTAGAAGTACTGACACCAGTCTTCTGAGATGTCTGCCAAGGTGTGTCTGTACACAGGAACTACCTCTTCTAGACTTCCAAAACAAAATCCCTTGAGGACTACCTTGGCTTTGGGAAACAGAAAGAAGTTACAGTGTGCTAAATTTGGACTATAAAGTAAATGAGTGACCAACTGCACTCCAGAGTTACTTAAGTAGTCTACTGTTCTCATTGCTGTATGTGTTGTAGCATTGTCATGGTGCAGTAAGAGTCCACAAAGGCTTGTTATAGGCTGCTGTTTGCAGATTTGTTGAAAGACGTGTTCTGACCAACACTTCTTGGACTTTGACAGGTGGTACTTTGTCAGAGAAGACCCAAACTGTGGACTGTCTCTTGCTTTCAAGGTCATACTAGTAGATGCAGATCTTGTCACCAGTGACAATTTCCCATGCAAGTTTTGAGCTTCCTTGTTGAAATTTTTCCAAAATATAGTGGCACCATTCCACACAAGTTTCTTTTTGCTGTACAGTCAGAGAATGAGGCACCCATCAAGGCACTATCTTTCCAACATGAAGATGATTGTGCAAGATGTCATTCACTACTGCCGATCCAATACCCAAGGTGTGTTCAATATACATATGGGTTATATGGGGGTCTTCTCTAAGTTTCTTGACACAAACCACATTTTCCAGACTCACTCCAGTTGCAGGTTGACCACTTCTCTCTTCAGAACTCCATTTCTGCCACATCTAAATTCTTTGAACCACCAGAATACTTGCATTATTGATGGAGGGGAAATGCTATTTGCGAATGGAGGCACAAGAACTGACAAACCAGATTTAGAGTTGTTAAACATCATTTCTCAGAAATGCTCCTGCATCAGTTCCATTTTTAACATCCAGTTTGGTGCTTTCCATGCTTGGGGAAATTACAAGGATGCAGGTATACTGTTGAACTTATTCTCAGAAAATGTTTGGCAGTAAAGTATCGCAGACAGTTTTTTTGCATTCAGTGGTTTTTTGTGTATCCGGAAACGTTCAGAAGTGGCCTTCAGAGAAACAACGTAATAACATTTACTTCTATAACAATAAGAAAGATTGATTCTTATTGGTTACCATTCATCTGCTCAATTTGGGAAAATAAAATCATCAATAAGTTCATTATTTTTATAAAAATTAAGCCAAACTAAGACAAACAATATTTTCCTTATTGCATCAAAAAGTGTGTCAAATTCTGCTGCTGCTCATGACAGATCTGCTTTGTGAATGATGGATGAACTTACCAAACTTAGTCATTTTTTAAATTGAAAATATTTTTGTACAGTGTAAATTAATTAATTAGTGAATTAAGTATATATGAATATTTTGGCTCATTTACTTAGTTACTGGATGATTAAGTTGATTGAATCTTGATGTGTAATGCAAAGGATATGGGTTCAGATTCCACATACAAATTTTATTTTATTTTTTTCAAATAAAAACAAAATCTTATTCCTTGATCTTAAGGCAATGAATTCTTACAAAAATTAAACAAAAGATAAATAAATAAAACAATATTTTTATGATGTGCCAAAAGTAAATGGTGGATCCATGAAATCTTTTAGTTCTTTCTCTATTCCAATAATTTTACTGTTTATTTTCTAGAACCAAACATAAGCCCAAATTACCAAATCACTTTTTATATTTTAGACAAAATTTGGATATTTATTTAAATATAAAGAGGTGGATGACCACATTATGTAAGTAATGACATTATCTACTGTAGTCATAGCAAACTTCTATCAAGTAATGGCATTTTCATTACAGTGCTTAGGCTATATGATATAGAAATCAAAATTATATAAAATAAGTCAACACCTTCCAAACTTATCCCCAGGATCTGATTTGAACATTAATAAATTTTCACTTTCCTAACATTGAATGAATATGCAAAAGAATTTATTTCATAAAATATATTTTATTTAACATTTTATTTTTAACCTTTTCCTTCAAAAAAGTAAATAGCATAATTTAATTTGGTTTTTTATTATTTTTAACTTAAAAATATTTAATTTGTTCATTTTGAGTGTTCTTGCTTTTTATCACAGACTGAGGTTCAATTTTGAAATAGTTGGCCAGGTTTTTTTTTGCAAAAATATAATAGTTTATTGACTTACGTTAGATGATTTGTTTGAAGCTGTAATTTGCTAACATTTTTCGACAAATTATACAAAATGGTCCATGTTCATCATTCAATTTTTAACTTAAAAATATGTTGAATTTTTTGGATTATCTGGAATGGATTGGATTGGATTTGGGTATTTTGGAATGTCTTTTTTGATAATTTAGTTATTTTTTAACATATTTGTAATGGTAACAATTTAGGACTTTATTCTTCTGCTTTATTTCGGTTTTATTATTATTTTATTCTGGTTGGCACAATTTTTCAATTCTGCTGACATTTTCTTAATATATTGGTGTGTATTTTGGAATAAAACAATAACATAACTATGTTAATAGTGTTTTTGATAAGAAACATTGTGTGTATGTGTTCCTAATACAGTATTTTACTTTGTTGGTACTAAGACGACTTTTTAAATCATGGTTTTGGATGGGCCCACAATGGTGAGGGACAGGGTCCGAAATATGTAGGACTTGAAAAGTTCCTAGTTACTTGTCCCCGATTCAATTCTGGGCCTCCCATAGCGATAGGCTGATACGTTAACCATCTTGGCCATCCGATCTTCTTAAATTTAATGTGTTTGAGTCTTCATTATTAAAGAGTGGCAATACAAAAAAATACTACATTTATATCAGTTGAACTTACAGGCATTTAAAAATAAAACATTTTGAAATGTTTTTATAAAATTGATATACAAAATAGTTGGTAAAACAATAAAATAAGATGTACTGTAAACATGTAAAAGATTTACAGGTTATGATTTGATTGTATGCACATAATCTGGATTAAATTATCAAGAGCCAAGTTTCTTTCATTATCTGAAAATGTCTAATTTCCGCCGTTATCGTAAAATAACTATGCAGATTAACATTTGAATGAGTTAATGTTTTGCAAATACAATGACACGTTAGTGAATCTAGTCCGAGAATTGTGTATTTCTTCAATATCTGTTTCCATTACTAATTAAAATTTTAGTGATTTTTTTTTATTTAGTTTAGTACTGGCATAATTTTTACTTTTCCGGTTCTATTATACATAATAGAGGGAAAGTATGACGATCGGTAAAAAATGACTCTCAGAATTTTAGTTTTGAATTCGGCTATCTTGAAACGTGGAGAAATGAAAAAATACTGGGGGTTTTTGTATGTATGGATGTTTGTGTGTGAGGCAAGATTTTGTTCAACCTCAAAGCTTAATATTGAATTAAGCTTGATAACTCCCGTGAATTTGAATCTTAATAACTCCCGTGCTTTTTGAAAATTTCTGAAGTTTTACAGGGAGGTTTCTGTTTTAGAGGATCGATGCTATTAAGTTCTGGTAGTTTATTACATGTAGGTCGAAGGGGTGGGAGATAAACGAGCCTGTGTCATATTTCGCGTAGGGTCGGACTTAATGACGATTTTACTCATTATTAACATTTACAATTTTCTATAAAACCCATCTCTGCCTTCAAAATTAAGCTATTTGCAATTTTGTAAAATATATATATATATATATATAAAGGTTTTTTAATCGATGGCGCCACACACGCAGTTTTTTAAATGTTGCCGGGAAAGTTAAGCAACTGGTTGTTGGAGTTTTTAATGCGGAAAATAAAAACTCAAGTTTTGGTATACTAAAGTCAATATTCCAGAAAATTCTTTTGGTTTCTTTTTTTCACACGTTTCTATGGTAACATTTTTCTGTGTGTGTTACCGCCAAAGCAGGAGGTTCAGCCACTTCACGAAGTGGCGGAAATTCCTGATCAAAATTCGATATGCTGATACAAGACTGTCCGGTAGGCGGCACATCTTTTGCTTCAGGTGTGATGGTGGCTTGCACGTGCTAGCAAGGAAGATGCCACACTGTGACGATAATAATCCATATATCTGCTACGTTTCTTAGAACGTTCTACTTCTGTGGCTTGTTCTTATTACTCTGACATAGAGGTTTCATTGTATGTACTGTATTCTTCGTATTTCTAAAGTATTCTATATGAATGCTTTCAGTTCAAGTGTTAAGGCACGTATAACATATATTTGGGTACGTGTGATGCACATATTGCTGGAAGGAGCATAGGCTACATTAATTATGCTGAGGTTAATAAAAGATTATTTTCTCGATTTCCTTTAAAGGAATGTGCTAAATTAGTAACAGGACAGTTTACTGGGGCTGTATGCCATGTAATGGTATTTCTATTTCAAGCACTATATTCATAATTGTTATTCCATAGTCTGTCGCATGGCTAATTCTGACAGGCCGAATATGCTGGTAAAATTGGAGTACAGTACACCTAAATGTGGAACCAACGTTTGAAATGAGAATCAGGTTCTCGGATACTTTGAATACGTTGCTGCAAGAAAAAGCAATAGCGGTATCCTCACTAGAG